TAGAATAAATGCAGAATTCAAGTTTTGAGTTAGTAAAAATCTGTGTCACCTCAGTGTCATCGTTTATCTGGTAACCAACTGTCACAGAAGCTGTAAATCCTGCAAACAATTATGGATCTCACTGCTGGCAAATCTTAACACCGAGATTGTGACTGAAGTGTAACACCAGCGCACAAGCCCCCGGCGTTCGGGCGGGTGGGGGGGTAGTTCTGCGCCCTGTGAGGCAAATGCTGACTCGGCAGCAAGGCAGATTAGCCGAAGGCTGGAGGACATTTTTGTTTCTGCTCTGTGCAGAATAACTGATCAAAGACTAGTTTTAGACAGGGATGTTAAGCTTCCTTGTCAGTTTGCTTAGGGAGCTTTCAACAGATGCTCTGTTGTGACCTTTGAAAGAGGGAGGAAGAAAGAACTGCTCTGATTAGAGGTTAAAAACAATTAAAAACAGATGAAAGCAGGAAACATGGGGCTAATCAACCTACTGATGACACATCAAAAAGTTCACTTTAATTACGTGCCGATAGAGGAACGAAGCCTGCATGTTCTTTGCCATGGCTGAGAAGCATATGGAAAAACATGAGGGCTTCTTGAGCACCAACCTTACGCAACACGTGGATAGTAATTTATCAGCTCTTAGGCACCCTTACTTTCCCGCGGGCTCAGAGGGTGTTCATGTAACAGCCTGTCACTGCAGAGGGCTCAGCTAAAGCCTACAGCTCTCACCACAGACGAAGACATTTCTGAGGCTATTTTACTCTTCACCACACACAGGTTTAACTTACTTTATAAAGGTCTTGAGGACAGAAGCATGACAGACGGATCTGTAACGCTTCTATTAGGTAAGCAATTATCCATTAAAGAGGAATTACCCTTCAGCTATTTCCTAAGGTCCGTATTAGCTTAGACAATCAGTACTACCCCAACTGCTGTACTCGTAGCTCGGGTTATCCAACTCCTCGCAGAGTAATCACAGAGGCTTCTGGAAGGTGCTACAGGACAGCCCGTACCACTTAGATAAGGACTTTAGGGCAATAAAGGGTTTAACTCGTTCCTGTAAAGCAAACACTGGTCGAAGTCGTACAGCCCAGGTGGTAGGGTGTCAGCCTCCCTCTGCAGTGAAATGCTACACAGTCCCGTTGTACGTCCTTGTGGAAGAAATTGGTCTCCTCAAGAGCAATCCTTTCTACCGGAGCGAGAGCTGCACACAGAAGAATCTTTCCATGACCACTAAAGCTGCTGCTACCAAAGGGATCAAAGCCTGCCAGACCTTCACAGTGAATCTAGAAACAGGTTCAGTTCTTGCAAATGTATAAAGTCCAACGGCTTTGGTACTGCAGTCGGCACCAGCAGAAACTGGAGAAATTATCAAAACTAGATAAAAACAAGGATTACTGCAAGGTCCTGATCTGGGAACACATCGCCATCGGCTGCAGGAAAGAGCGACAAGCGAGTTCTCAAACTGTTCCAGCAGACTGACTTGCAGGAGTCAGCCAGTCCCTGTGTGTGCACGTTAGCCGGCCAGAGCTTCACCTCTTCCCACCACTACCTCACCTCTAGCTACCAGCCTGAGGCTGCCTAGCTGCTTCCTTCACCTCCTCATCTCTGCCAGTGGGACAGGGAGTTTAGCGTGACTGTTCTTCAAATCTGCAGTAGTTAAAGAAAGAGTCGTAACAAATGCAGTGTGCAACTGGTATCCGCTTGCTAATTCAGCAGCGAGTCACGAAGGGGGACGAACCGTGGATGGCAGCGACGGCTTTCGGAAGGGCTTACAACAGCTTGTTTCTACACATTCCAAGGGCTTGTCAAGAAGGTAATGAAAGGAGCCTTTCAGCCCAGCTCATCTGGGTTGGAGAAACAAAGCAGCAGGAGAGAGGGGGGTTCTGCAGGAGGGTAACTCTCCCTCTCAACAAGAGTGAGAAACGGCACGTTCCCTGAGTGGCAGATGATTACCGTTGGCCGGTCATCAAATGAAGGTCAAATTACCATGTAGGGGCCTGTATGTAATAAACACCAACTAAAATCTGCACTAAAATACTTAAAATAATTAATTTACCCATGTATCATTACAGCCGCAAGTTAAAAATACAAGTGGAGATGCAAACACAAAACATAAGGTGATGCTTTGTCTCCGTCAGGTTTCCTGAAGCCACTGGCAAACACCGGAGAAGTTTCCCAAATCACAGAAACTGCAAAGGAATTGCACAAAATCCAAAATACTTACCTAAAACATAAGCAGCTACTAACTTTTGATTCACACTTAAATGGAGGTAGAGAGGCACCAGGGATTCCATTTCCCCCAACGTAGGTAGCATCAGTGCTGCGATACACACTATTCCCAGGAAGACTGTTAGTAAACTAGGTCCCGACGAGGCAGTTCTGTTTTCTGAAAGACAAGGGGCACCGACAGTGAGGAACACCTGACCAGCGTAAGCGCGAAATACTCCGCAAAGAGGTTTGCGATGCACTGGAGCTGCACTATCCTGAGATTTTCCTTTCTGTTTGTAGGGGGTGGAAAACAACTCCTAAGCCCACCCTTCTAAACCTTTTGCCACGGAGAAGGCTGCTCCCTGTTCTGATGCTGGAACTTGTTTTCCCCAAGCCCTCCTTTCTGGAGGAGCGGAGCCTGCCAGGCCCAGCAGCTCAACGTCCACACACTCCCGACAGTCGGATGGTTCGGGAATGCTTGTGTTTCACCGACTCCGCTCCTTGGCGTGTTCCTGCGGCGATCAGCAATCGATTACAACACCCAGGAGGGCGGCACAGGCAGGTAACTGCCTACATCTCCAGAACAAGACTTGGCTACAGCAGGAGCCAGGCCCCTGGGCCAGATGAGTTCATTCTTTCTTTAGAGGATTCACGGGCTGCACCTGCCAGAACCAGTTTCTATGTCTCAAACTGGTAATATTTCAATCTTACGTTAAAAACGGTGGGAGCGAAGCACTGACGAGCCAGTATCGCCAGAATAAGGAAATGCAAACTACAGCTAGGCTGTCCTTGGTGCTCGGCTGCGCTGCAGTTTCACAGCTGGAACCTCTGTGGACAGAACTGTTAACATGTTATTTGAATGCCTCTAACCAAATCCGTAAGATCCGCTGGAAATCAGCCAATCGTTTTATCAAGTTTCTCCATCCTCAGTGGCTAGCAATATATATTCTTTTTTAATTCCATAAATACATTATTTCTAGGTTGCAGGTAAATGTAAAGCCTGCAGTTGCTTTTTTTACTGTTTTTCTGTAAGCAATATAATGGTGGTCAACAGGGATTTTAAGCAGAGAAATAGCATTTGGATTGTGACCAGTATCAGGCTGTTCAAGATGGTTCAAACTCTCTGTACCAGCACCACTATCATCGCATCAATTTGTTCTGTGAGCCCAGAGATCCTGTAGGTTTGCTTTAACCACGTAGCCTTCTAATACCCATTTTGAGAGATTTTTTGGAAAAGCTGTTTCACCAGCCAACAAACGATGTATAAATAATGAAACAGTCACTGGAACAGGTTTCCCAGAGAAGCTGTGGATGCCCCATCCCTGGAAGTGTTCAAGGCCAGGCTGGATGAGGCTTTGAGCAACCTGGTCTAGTGGAAGGTGTCCCTGCCCATGGCAGGGGGTTGGAACTGGGTGATCTTTAAGGTCCCTTCCAACCCAAACCATCCTGTGATTCTAAAAGGAACAATCTCAGGCAGGTTCATCTATTTTCTGGAACTGGTATTTGTTCTTGTCACAAAAAATACAACAGTAACAAGAATATTACTGTGTAAATCAGTGAAAGGAACAGTAGACTGACAAGTCAAAAGTCAGTTTCAATTCAGCTCTGGTAAAATTTGGTACTTTCTGCATCTCCCCTACCCCTGCAGTTTAACTGTTCAGTCCAGGCTTTGCCCAGGACCATCCATTCACTTCCTCACGTACAAAACGTGCAACGAGCTCCCAGCTACCAACTGCGCTTCCCGGTACTCGTGAGGCAGACAAAGGAGACGGCGCAGAACAAGGAGCACTTCAGAAGATGTTTTGGCAACGTTTCCTGCTCATCAGGAAACGGAGGATTAAGGGTTTGGAACAAACTCAGAAGGGGCATATGTGCTGGAAGAGCTCAAGGGAAAAAATAACTTCCATCCTTTTGGAGATAAACGCCCATTGCCTGTCACAGAACTTCTGCACCAGAGGAAGAGGATGCACTCTCCAGGGTATGACATGCAAACGTGGGGCAGCAAAGGGTGTTGATCCATCAAGACAGCATCAGCAGAACAGCCACAGTTTGCGCTCTTGGGTGCTAGCATCCCCCAGCAATAAGGACACCAGTCTTACAGGTAAGAAAAAAGAATGATTTTAAAATGTTAGTCTAGTCTTTCTGGTCACTTGAGCTATTCGTAACCGATTAAGAAGACAGGAGGGTAAAGGATTGCATCTACCTGGTTGACACAAAGTCTGCTCAAAAAAGACACTTTCAGCCAGGTGTTCTTTAATTCGTTTCTCCTCCTCTTCCTTTTGTTGTTGTTGTTCCTTTGCAGATGGAAGTAGAGTAGCAATAATCTCCTTTTTCCCCAGTGCTTTCCTCTGGCTCTGCTCGGACACTTGTAGACGGAATTTGTCGATCACACCATAGTAAGCAGCGCGAACATCTCTGTGACGAATCACACTGCAGAGGAAAACAACAGAGGGACTAATAAGCAGCACATCCTGTGGAATGACATCCTACATCCCAATGTTTCTCCTCTCCCCCTGCGCACAGACACACTGCAATAGTTCAGATCCCCATTACCTCCTCCATCACTCAATGCTCTTGAAGATTTGATCTTGCCTTCTCTCTCCCCTCACGTTCACTCTGGTTCCCAAATATATAAGCTCCGATTGGCTGGCCAAAAGGAACAGTTAATTCTTCATCTCAAGCACACCTTTGCCTCAACCTCAGGCCTAGCTGCCAATTTGTGTGAAACATCAATTATCTGAAAGACGCCTCCTCTTCAATAAAAGTGGTTTGGTGCTGGCCAATGATTTTTAAAGGATGAGGGGGACTGGAGTGGACAGGGAAGGAAAGAAGAAGTAGGACTGCCAAACACTCAGATGGGTGATGGCAAAAGTCTAGTCTTTTGAGGAAACCAGGCTCAAAGCTTTACAGTATGTTCTCAGAACCGAATCTCCTTCCCTCGATGGACAACAGTCACGTAGACGTACAGGGATTTTCAAAACCGGAAGCCCACCATTAAGAGCACGTGACAGTGCAGTACAAATGACAGCTACGTGCCTCCATAAACACTCCTCACCTGTCTGTCAGCCAGTAAAGCTGGATATCAGCAGCAGAGCTCCGTGCTGTCAGAGCTTTGCCATCAGCGGAGCTACCCTGAGCACGTTCCGTAGCCGGCACTGAAGCGCCTGGTGCTGCAGAGAGCTCACTGCCTACCAAGAGCAGTGCAGGTGTAGCTACACAGGCTGCACTCACAGCTCGGACTGCAGTCTGGGCAGCTCCCAGTTACAGCTACAGTCGGTTATTCCCAGTGTCTCACTGTCCAGCAACCGCTCTAGCTCTACTGTTTGGCCTGCGTTGACCCAGATGACTTCAACAGTAAGACAGGGTGATAGTTGTTGCATTCCTCCTAGTCTGATGGCATTTCACAGGAAAAATGGTATGTGGGACCTACAGAAGGCACAGTTTTAAAATAACACTGATCAAAGCATGCTCTGCTCGCTGCCTCCCCTCTGCGTGTGCGATTAATTATGAAATGACGTGTCGAGCATTAAGTGCTGTAACACTTAGGGTCTGAAATCATACCAGCACTTAGGGTTAATGCTGATTTTAATTATTTCTCAAAAATGGCAGACTTTTTTTTTCTGAATTTCTAAGATAACAACAGCTAATCTGAAAAAACCCTACAGAAGTGATTTGGCTTCAAGAAGGTTGCCATCTCTTGAGGGGGGAAAAGATTGGTTCTACCCTTTGTAATGCCAGATAGTAGCCTTAAAACAGCCTCAAGAAACCCATCTTTGCGATAACATATACATTAAAACAAAGCAAGAAACAGGTTTTTGTGCTTCAGTCTTCATTTAAAGGAACTATAACCTTTCAAAATACCTGCAATCATTAACACACAGCCAGTGCTCGGAACTGGTACCTCGTTGGAATACCGTACAAGGGAACAGAAACAAAGTCATCCCTTGAGCGAGGGCTGCAGGAACCTACGTAGCTTTACATCGCTTGAGAAGCAAAACAGTGTGTTTATGACAGGCTTTCAGCAAGCTGAGTGTTGGCTGGGCAACTGCCTTCACCACAACAAAAGGCTGCCCCCTCCCCCCCCAATCCCAATTCACACAACTCAGCAGATTCAACCCTTATTTCTTCCTTTAACACTTCCTTTTAAATTTTTGTTTCTATTCTTAGCACCACGGTACTCACTACCAACCTAAACAGAATCTTTACATAACACTGTGCTATGAGAACAGGCATCTGCTGCCAAGCAAAGAGATGTTTTCTGCAGACCCTTATAAACAGATACATTCTCCTGTTTCTTTTTAGGGACCATTGCATAATTGGAAGCTCTGTAGAATATCTGTTTATCTGGCAAATGGCCATACTTGCCTAGTACTGCTCATATCCTAGCAGTAAACACCGCCCTTAGACAGCGACCACTGGGATGGGATGGGGATTTTGCTGCACAAAAAAATCCCCTTGGAAGCACGCATACATCTTATTTTCCTTTATTTAATACAAGACATTTGGTTACGATTAACCAAATGTAATCAAGCTCACGTAAATGTCTGCTAAAGCCTGGAGTCGGTCAGTATATTCTCATTTGCTCCACTTCAGGATCATGCCCTGCCCACTGAAATTTTCTTGTTCCATGTTTTAACCTTCACAGCAGCACTTATCTGACAAAAGACGGATCATTCAGTAGTGGAGGGTTTGTATATGGCTATTTGTTAGCCAGAGATTCCAGAAGGTGCTTTTCAGTTCCCAAATTTCTATTCAGAAAGCTCCGTCTGCTCTTTTAGGTACTTGGTACTTTATCAGCTGTATCTGTACATCAGCACAGAAAGAACGTGGCAAATGGAAGATGGGAAAACAAGGTCTATTTTAGCTTACACACCTACTCTACTGCACTACAGTAACTCTACTGAACCGCAGCAGCTTACAGAGCCTGCGCATTAGTGCGGTCACTGAACCTTATTTTCTGAAGTTGGGTTGGGACCTGACAGGAGAAACAAATAAAGGGGAGACAGGGACATCTGAGAACGAGAGGCAGCACAGAAATCCCAACCCTGAGGGACTTGCTGTTCTTGTTATTTCTAACAAAAAAAAGTGCTCAGAGCAGGCTCATATGACTCTCACTGAGGATTTACAAACTATACTATGGGATGCATTTACTAGCACTTTATTTATGCCTAAAGACAAAACTAAAGAAGGAAATATCTCCAATATTGTAATACCTCTGCCCCAGAGTGAAGGAATAGCAGAGACCAGATGGCTGCAAGAATACAGGAGATTAGGAAAATTCTGTATCTTTATCCAAATTAGTCTCTACTGTGCATTTACGACCTCTTAAAGAATGAAAGAAATTGAGGTAATCAAATATTGTACATTAAGGGAGGGGAAAAAACCCCCAACTTTTACTTACATATCAACACAGCACTGAGGCTTCACTGCACCAGTAGCATCAACCACCGCATATTTATTTGGAGTTGTACAAAGAACTGCAAAGAAAAGGACAGTAGTGGTAACAAATCACGAGTTAATACCCACCAACTTCATCAACAGATGTACTAAAGACAGGAGTCTGGTTCTGTCACAAATATGATGTTACATGAATTATAACTGGATGGTTCAAGATCACCAACTAACCCTTAAATAGAACTTAACCTCAGAAACCCACCTTTGAATTTTAAGGCAAACTCATAGGGGTTATATAGAGTCAACACCTGCTTGTGTGTCGACTGGTCATCTGCATAAAATATAAGTTCTGTAGGAAAAACAAAAACAGGAAGATTTCCTTCCACTAACTCTGGCTGTCTTTTTTGTTGCTGCATTGGCACTGAATCCTCCTTGCTGCTTCTTGTGTTCTTATGATTTTGTATCCTCAGAGACTTCAGTTTTTGAATCGTTTAAGAATTCCAAAGCATTTTGGCAATTCTGAAGGAAAAAGGGAAAAAAAAAAAGAGAAAAGGCAAGAAGATTATTTCCATAAGTTTACACTAAACTGAGGCAGTCAACAACAGTGTAAAAATACAGAACGTGCTGCTTGGTTATGAATCTACCTTACTGAAGTTCCTTCAAAAATAGAGAAATAGTAAAAAAAAACTTGCATCAGGTTTCCATCTATTTAACGAACTGGTATAAAATAAATGGATAAGCACTTCCTCAGTGTATCATGGCATCATTCTGGGGTCCCAGTGCATGACTAGGGTTGCTCATGCTGGATCCCTGCAAGACAACCCAAAGGAGATATGCCATCCTTGCCTCAGGACACTAACGCCCGAGAAAAAACAGAGCAGCAGCGAGGAAACACACAGACCTACGGCAGCGGGAGTCCCCATGTCGGCAGGAATCTCTGCAGTGGTGACCCTCCCGGATGAGGTACAACAGCTTAGGTATCTGCTCACACAGGCGCTGCGGTATGTCACATCCCACAGACTCACAGCAGAAGAATGGGGAACACCTCCCCTTGTTTAGACTCATGGCCATTACGCGGTGGTTACAGGCAACGAATTAAAAAATGACTGGGATGAATAATACCAAACAGATTTGGGATTTACTCTTTGATTTTTTTTTTTTTTTTTAAAGACAGGTTTTCTCCCACTGCCATTTCTAACCAAAGTATAACCATCATAGCTCTCCCTCTGCCACCCCCACGGTTTTATTCTGAGTGACATTCCAGAACTAAAACCAGAACCCATGACCCGACCAAGCAACAATCCCAAAATGTAATTCATAAAGTAAAGTTAAGGCCAGGCTCCCCAGCACACATGCCATTGCCTTTACACACTGCAGACACAACCAAGTCACACGGCTACATCTGGTTTCCCCCCATAAACGTCATATTTTAATGTAGCTCCTGTAGGTGAATTCTCAAACTGAAGGCGTCCTTTGAGGCCTAACTTTATTCTACAGTAGAAACTACTGAAGGAACAAGTTCCT